AATCCTCCAAAACATTGAATGTATATACATATACTGATAAGATATCTATAATCTTAAACCATGAAAACTGGCAATGTGTTCGAATGACTTCAGCTGTAAGAAAAGTAAGCTGTAAAAAAATAACCAGGCAAATTTAATTCTTTTGGTTGCAGAAAACAAAATCGAATAACAAAATGATTTTACTATTGGCGAATGAGAACATAAATAATCCCCTTGATAAAGAATTTGATCTCTTTTTCACTAATGATTCGGTTGCGCAAGGTCGCAAGATTTTTTCAAAAAACAAAAAAAAACCTCCACCTATATTTATTTTCAATTTTAAGTTTAACAATCCAAGTCTGATGAGAATAAAGGGAAATCCATCTCACAGTCCAAAAATTCAGAATGTAATTCATTCCAGATTAAAGTTTCGGTTCCAAAATTTCCATTGTGTCCAATTCTTCACATATCATTTAGAACTGCCCAAAGTTATTTGCCATGGACATAAGACAACGCACATTCGAAGAGAACAAACAAGGCCTGTGCCTCAATTATTTCTCCAAAACGCATCACGCGCGAAATTGTACAAGCAGAAACAAGTGCTTTGAGCGCCAAATAGACACAACACAATGCTTCACGTTCATAGCCATTCATCCACTCTTCCTTCCACCTCTAATAGTAAATCCGCTTTGAACTTTAATTCTGTTTTTTTTTTTTTTTAACTCCTAATTCCTCACAAGCCAATAGTTCTGGGAACGGAGTCATTCAATCTTGCTTCTCGCCAGTTCAAAGAGAGTTTTATTGGGGACTGCGTTGGTAAATGTGCTACACTTAGGAGTCTTTTACCAAACACGTTTTGTTCGATTCAGGTTCTCAGGGAACGTCTATCTCAGAGAGATTTCTCAATTAATTAAAACTTCTGTATCTGCATACGAATGTGTAGATTTTCGGCCTTATTAACACCACTGCGGCTTCCGTTCGAAAACTTTGCACCTTAAATCTATGTTCAACATTTGATAATTCCGTACAAGTGCCGGTCCAAAATAAGAGTTGCTCCAGTGAACACGCTGTCGTTTCCACGACTAGAGCTATGTGGAGCTGTCCTACTGGCGGAAATTATAGACGCATTCCTCCCAACGTATTCCTCTGGTCAGACTCCACAATAGTTCTTTCCTGGCTTTCCAAGCCTCCTTGTCATTGGTTAACATTCGCTGCTGATCTGGAAAGCTGCTGATCTGGAATCCTCAAGAAACATGTGTCGAACCTAAATAAATCTAAATCCATTTCCATACAATGAAAAGCGCCCAATATTACTTCCATACAATTGCATGCATTTTCCCGGCTTTATGTTGATATTGTTAACATAATCACTATCCATGGTGACGATCTAAAATCAAGAACCTCATTAATGCCTCTATTCATAAATGCAAGCTTTGAATCCTTTATAAAAATCACTGTCAGAAACAGATAATGAATGCTCTTCCTCCTGAACATACAGAGATTTCTCGACATTAAAACATATTGCGGACGCTTATGCCGTATAACGAAGGGATGCGTATGTGTGTTCGTATGTTTTCCACTAAGGTATTTCATCTCGAAACAACTTCCGATCTTTCCATTTTCACCTTTCTAGCAGCATTTCATAGATTCGTCTCTAGACGATGATGCCCTGCTCATCTTCATTCCGATTATGGCTCAATGTTTGTGGAAGCGTCCAAAGCCCTGGCGAAAGAGTTTATTCAAGCTTCTCGTTCCGCTGTCATTTCCAATTATTCCGTGCAAAACCTTAGTTGGCACTTTATTCCGCCTGGGGCTATTCATATGGAAGGACTCCGGAAAGCCGGGGTTAAAAGTCTCAAAAAGTTTGCAGGCTTATTCAAGTTTACGTTCGAAGAATTTTTTTTCGTCCGCTATCTCCTTTTTCCTCTGAGCCAACAGACTTTGCCGCCTTAACTCTTGAATGTCGCCGAGAGTTGCAAAATCGATTTAAATGACAAGCATTTGAGAAGAACATTGAAGAAAACATACTTGCCGCACATTATGATGACAATCTTCTGCAAAATTCCTGGCGCCTCGGTAGAGTTTCCGATCGTCATATCCGGGTCGCAGATATTGTAACTCAAATAGGTGTCATTACTCGTCGTATTACTAAGCTTGTCGTCCTTCTAAATTCACATTTTCTTCTTTCCGTTCTGTGTCCTTTTGTCGGTATTGTAGAAACATGCCCAAACATTCTAACACCAAAAATTAACCCAATCGATCGAACCGAGCTCTAAGGGACAATTTTTATGCCGTCTCTGCCAGCGTCTTCATGCGTCTGTGCAAGAAATTCCTGGTGATGAACATGGGAGAACATTTACAGTCGGTTCGAGAGCATAAATACTGTGTTAATTGTTTATCGTTGAAGCTTTCTTATGGATCTTGTTTCAGTGATATCAGATGTCATCACTGCCGAAAGTTCGTCCGCGAGACCAACTCCTTCCTAGGCGGCTGTCCGGGGATAAGTCCCGTTACCAATCTCGCTCCATTTCACCGTAACCATCAACGTCAAAAGCAGCCCGAACCCATACATTGAACTCTACGCCTTCTACGGCACATAACTTGAAGCGATCTCTCACATCCCTAATTCAGCAAAAGAGAACAGCAACCGTGGGCAGCAGGGTTATGGTTCGGGTTGATGCTAAATGTGTAGCTCGGTGCCTGTTGGACCTCTCCTCACCAGTAAGTCGCATCTCAAGAACTTTTTTGGATTAACTTAAAGTGGAAACATCTAAAATTTCATTTAAATTTGTCAGATTCTGCATCTGAAACAGCTGGAAATATCTGTGCTGTTGTACAATTGCTATGAAATCAGTTACCATGAGCTCATTTACCGGAAGGAGATTGGAAGATCTATCAGAATAGAATGATTTCAGACGTGTGAGATATTTTTCTGAGCTTGTCTCTGAACATTGATATATGTTTAAGATGAACCTGTATTTTTTTATCATTATACTCAATAATTTGACTTGTTTCGATAAAGGCAGATATTCTTTTTTTATTATGTCAGATACCAAAATTGCCTTTCACTCATCTCAACTTTCTTCGCATGAAATTCAAATATGTAAAAACATAAAATGTTCTGCACAGTAGGCAGAACTCATTAAGAACTCCCAATACCGAATTTAAAGCTAAATTTATGTGGAAATGGAAAGGACAATTATATGGAAGCTATACGAAGAAGTTGGAAGAAAATCTTCTACCAAATGTCGTTTGGATTTCAGCATGATTACAACAGACGGACAAGGCTAAATCGACTTAGAATCTTACGCTAATTAAAAATATATATTAACTTTGTTGGGTTTAAAACTATTATTTCCCTGAGTTACAAACGAAATGACTAACTTAATATGCACTCCACACTATGTATGTGGAGGATATAAGCAAGGGAGGACAGCAAGATTTCTTACTGCGATTAGGTATATTTACACCTGCAGCTTTTTCAAATGAACTTCTTATCACGTGCTTTATTGTATTTTATACTAAAATCGCGTAATGCTGCAAATTTACTGCTCGATGAGAGTGACGAATTGATGGAGTTTTCTGGAACGTTAAGTCCAAAATTTGACATTTCTCTACATTAGATGGAAATCATATCTTTTGGGTTTGATTGATTCCGATTGATGTTCATTACAAGACGAATCGTGAACGAGTTTGGAGATTGCTATGTTGACCTGGTCTTATGACCAACCTTATTGGGAGGTATACGCATGCGTACTTTCTCGTCAAAATCATTTCCAAATCACAAAAATCCAAAGATAAATTTAAAAAAAAATAGCTTTAAAATAAATGCTATTTTTCAAAGAACAGTCCATCATCCATACCAAATATGCCTGATGAGCCGCTTAACCAACGGCGAAACGCATGGTGAACGTGTATAGTGTCTCTGATTGAAATTTTCCTAACAGACCTTTGAGGATAATTCGGACGGAGGAACGTAGTAATAGCAACAGTCGACATTTAAAGGAGTATTATTTCTACTTTCGAAAAATAAGAGAACGAACCTCGATGTTTGAAATGATTTTTTAAATATTTCAAATTCATTCATTCACTCTAGCCGAATGGGAGCAAATTTCAGGATGTACTATCTGTCATTGCTATTTACAAAGACATAGAATTATTAAACAAAGACACATACTATATAAAAACAGGACATTTTATTGTTGCTTCGGTTTAATAGATGGTGTTGGTAGTAGATACAAGTAAAAAACATTAAGAACTTTAAATGCCCTCCATCATTACCTAAAGATTTTTTTTACATAAAAGTATCTGAATTCAAACGCATTGTACTTTAAACTAAAAATATTTTATTATTATCTTATACTACAAAGATTTTTATTTATTGCGAGTCTTGAATGCCAAATATATAACAATTCCGTGGTTTAATGTGTCTAAGATTATAAAAATACCGAATAACGGCGAATCAATATGAACAATGTATTGACACCGGTTGTAGAACCCATTTTGAACTACAGTAACTAAATTTTACACAAATACATTAGAAAATGTTGCTAAAGCCGTTAAAATACCGAATATCGGACGTATTTTGACAATTTTCACTAATTTAGAATGGTTTTTTGGCAGAAAGGCATAACATTTAGAAAAATCGCATAAAAATATTTTTCTGTAATGTATTTTTATCGCATGAGATTCTTTTATATTGACTTTCAATATTGAATTGTACATTTCGTAATATTTTTCACCTTGGAACACAACGTGTTGGGGTATTTCATTCAGGTCGCTAATAAAGTCCGATCTTCATGAAATCTTGCATGCGGGGAGATTTGGGATCAGAATAGAATCCTAGTATTTTGGAAGGTGTTCCCAAAATATTTAGGAGCAAAAAGAAAAAAATTCTAGTTTTAATTACTTTTTTTTTTCTTAAGTTGAAAAAAATTCTAGTTTAAGGAATATCAAATTAAAAGTTATTTATGTTTCAAACACTACCAATACTATACTAATTTTTATTATTTGTTTTGCAGGCTAAAACATTAAAGGGCATCACACAATGACGTCATACATAAGTTTGGCACTTGCTGCCCATGGCCCACCAAGCATACTGGAGCCATTAGCACCCTCGTTTAGGACGACTACTACGACCACCACTACAACCACGACAACGTCAACGCCGCCGACATCTTCAGGAAGCCATAACTTCCCACACGTCACAATCATGTCGGACATACTTGACAATGTAACAGCTGTTGTTCTGTTTGGAAATGAGTCCATCACAGGAATGCATACAAATGTTACAAATATTTTGGAGCCGCGTGGACCACGTTATTCACTGTCGTCAATGATAATAATGGGTGTCATAGCTGGCATACTCAGTTTGCTAACTGTTGTGGGTAACGTTATGGTGATGATATCCTTTAAAATCGACAAGCAACTACAAACTATAAGCAATTACTTTCTATTCTCTTTGGCAATTGCCGACTTTGCTATTGGTCTGATATCGATGCCTTTGTTTGCTGTCTCTACCATAGTCGGATATTGGCCCCTTGGGCCGCACATCTGCGACACATGGCTCGCCTTGGACTATTTAGCCTCAAATGCTTCAGTTCTTAATCTTCTGATAATAAGCTTTGATCGATATTTCAGCGTCACAAGACCCCTTACCTATCGGGCCAAAAGAACGACGAACAGAGCCGCATGTATGATAGCAGCCGCATGGGGGATAAGTTTAATACTCTGGCCTCCTTGGATTTACAGCTGGCCATACATTGAGGGAAAACGCACGGTTCCACAAGATGAATGCTACATTCAGTTCATTGAAACCAATCAGTATATTACATTCCTAACCGCACTCGCTGCGTTTTATTTCCCCGTTACAATAATGTGTTTCCTATACTATCGCATATGGAAGGAAACAAAGAAACGTCAAAAGGATTTGCCTAATTTGCAGGCTGGGAAAAAGGATTCTTCTAAACGCTCGAATTCTAGGTAAGTCAAAATTAATACAAAATCCCTAAGTTTGTTTGCTACTATACGGAAAACCCAATATATTCCGATTTGTTTCCCAGGAATTAAAAAATATTATTAGATATAACTTGTTTAAATATAAACTATAAATTATTTTCAAACGTTGCAAATTCCATATTCCAAAAGTATGATCCTATTGATTACTCCATTAGCAGAAGGGGCATTTTTTACGGAAGAGAAAAGTGGGTTTTATGACAAAGAAAGGAGTTAAACGAGGTATATTACATTTTTTCTTCGGCCGTCTGCCTGGAAAACTAATTATACCCTGCACCACAAGTTGAAATTGGAGATAATCGGTCAAAATTTAGATATAGCTCCCATATATATCTTCGTCCGATTTGCCTTTTATGGTGCACCAAACGTGTAATATCAGCGCGAATAGTATGGAATTTTGCACGTACGATCAGATTGGACCTGAAAATAAGTATGCAAAATTTGATCGAAATCGGTTCAGATATAGTTATAGCTCCCATATATATTGTTCATCCGATTTGTTATTTTTGTCCTCGGCAGACGTAATATGCACTCTGTAACAACAATATTTGGGGAAATATATCAAACACAGCTCAGAAATACATTTGCTAAATTTTATCGAGATCGGTTCAGATTTGGATAAAGGTCCCATATATAACTCCATCCGATTTGCCTTTTTTGTGCACCAAACGTGTTATATTAATCCACTTTGATACTTACGACCGACTTTCTTTGCTGGTTTTTTCTATTCAATAAACTTTACACGTTTGAATTGGAAAGTAACAAATTTGAAACTGCAAAAGAAAAAATTTAAACGTTTTCAACCTATATTGTTTCTTATTATCTTATTCGTTCATTTTCTCATAAATTTCCAAATCTATGATAGGTGTTTGTTGTCTCGTTTTGGGAAACATATACTTTTAAAAAATATCTATCCACTTTCCAATCATTATCAAGTTTTCTGTTGGATTTCTAAAATTTTTTCTTCAAATGATCATATTAATTGTTTTGCTACTAAAGTGATTTCCTTCCTACTATTTATTTTTTTCGCTCCGCTTATTTAAGTGATGAGAATACAGTCATTAACCACACTGGTGCCATGCTGTCTATAACACATCTAGGAGGTATAGGTGGCGAACACGAAACATGGAGAAGGCCACGTTCCGAGTCGTCTGCAGATGCTGAAAGCGTTTACATGCCTAACATGATCATAGATTCCAGTTATCAAGGGATTCATTCCAGAAAATCAAGTGTAAGTATGTGTAGTAACCTTGTGTGGAGTAATCACAAATTATTGTTTACTTGTTCTTCATTTTCATATTGGGTCAGTTTTTATATCAGCTAGTGTATTTATCAGTCCTTTGAATAAAACCATCCAATATATTCCAATAGTTTGTTTTCTCATTCTTTTTATTCGGTCCACCATTCTATGGGGGGTATATTAACTTTGTTATTCCATTTGCAACTTCTTGAGATACTCATGTTAGCATAAACAGAGGAACGTAGCTACATCGACTACATTTTAAGCTGATCCAGAAAATATATACTGTTCTGGATCAGCTTAAAATGTAGTCGATGTAGCTACGTTCCTCTGTTTATGCCTGTTGTAATCACTATTTTTCGAACGAACTGAGATATGAGGCTAAATTTTTGCAAATGTGTGTAATTTGTCAGTAGGTAAGTTCGTAAATGGGTCATGTTTTCGTATAGTCCCCATGTAACGGGTGCTCTCGTTATTTGGTATTTTGATTATATAAGCGACATTATTCAACGGAATTGTTTCAAATTTCGTATTTAAAGTTCGCAATGGGTCCTACAAGCTATGACAGAAAATTGTATATGTATGTCCACGTCTTCGTATACGCCCCATATAACGGTATCTAAATGTATTCACGATAGTCATGATTTTAGCTACATTATTCACCGGAATTGTTTCAAATTTCCTCCTTCACGGGAGGAACGCCAGATGTAGGAGGTGATGATTGCGGAATGTCTTGAGTAGATTGTGGAGTTTTGTCAGAAACTGCGACTTAGCATTCCCTTAGATTGCACCTTTTTCGCATCTTCTTTGCATTTCTGGCCAGAAACAGACGGCGACGGTACATATTTATCTAGCTCTTGACATTTTTTCAAACAATGTAGAGAAGTTCTCAAATCGGTATGGTAAAGAGGAAAATCGTTTTTTCACTGATGTCAATACCGATTGCAAATCCTTTACAAAGTTATAAAAGTCCGCAGAGAGTTTTCAACATTGAACACAACACCGTCGAGTACAAACATTATGTTTACAGTATCAACTATTTCCGTGTAAATACGAGCACACTTAACAGCGTTACCTAAAATTCGACTTACCGTATACACCTGTGTTTTACTTGTGTGTGAAATATGTCGACCGAGTACGTCGAATTTTAGGTAACGCTGTAACATGCCATTAATTAAGACACAACCAAAATTTTTTCAAGTACCTTTCAAATGGTGGAAAGTATTAAATGTTCGGACTATCAGAACTGCTGCTTTTGTATTGTTAAATGTATTCAATTATATCGTTTGACAATTTTTTTCTTCTTCTTGGTTGGGGTGCGTTTTATATAACATCCAGGCTCTCCGAAGATTTGTTTTATATTTGGGTTCATTGGATTGGTTGTATTTTTATTACTTTTTTGAGTTTTCCAGATCAAGCTTTAAATTTTTCTTGACCATGACTGTCAGATGTTCGCATACTCTTCAAGATCAATCATGACGGATCAACATTATTTTCGATTCAACAAAAATATGACGTTAACTTCCAAACAAATATTATTTGGGTTTCTACATCTTTGCCAGCTTACTCGATGTTCGGTGAAAGAGAACGATCTGCAAGATGAGTTTTTCACCATTTTACACTCGACCAGTAAGATAGCTCAGAAAGGTCTAAATAACTGTGCAGTTCTGGGGTATTCACAGCTGTTTTTAGTTAAATTTATTAGTTTAAATTATATAATTTAGTTTTATTTATAAAGGTCAAATTGTTGTCTCATACCGGTTGGCATCAACAACGTCGTTTCTTTTTTGGATCCCGGTGGTGTGGGGTACAAAAATTCCATTTCTCTGAGAAAATCATTGTTCTTATTCTGTACTTTGTACGCAAAACTACATAGACAGCCGGACAAATAGACAGACGGGCGGAAATATGAGCTCCAGGATATAACTACCAGCTAAGGCCAATTTTTTAAGGTTTTTAAGACATGCACTGACTGGCGATTTTTCTTATCGGAGATGTTTGTTATATTTGTTTTTCAGAAATCAAAGTTCTATAAAAAATAACTTTTTTAGACACATACATTTTCAAAAGTTAACGTTGGCCCTGTAATTTGCAGATACCCCGTAAGCTCATGGCTTTTTTCCGACCACCTTATGTGTACCACACAATATTATACTAATTTGGAAGTCTATTTTACAGCACTGCTAGGAAAATGCTAATGAAATTCTAAAATGTACAAAAACCTATTTCCGAAGAAATTACTAAGAATTTTGTGTAATTTCCTTTAGTGTTTAATATTGGTTACATTGAAGTTGACAATCATATTTTAGTAAAATTATTTTCACAGAAACCCATTAGTATTAAACATTTTTCCGTTTTCCTTCAAGTTGTCTATCCTACCCAGATATGGAAACCAAATTTGAATTGCTTTCCAATTGAAAGCGAAAATTTTTGTTTTCAAAATGTAATCGCAGGTAATTAATAAATGGAAGTCATATTTTCATTAAAGGTATCGCAGGATTAAGAGATTTGAAGCACGTATTACAAAGGACATTTTCCTTCATTTGCCGGAAAATTGTCATTATATAATGCAAAGTGTTTAATATAACATGAATCCCAATTTGGTAATTTCGAGCGTTTAAGGCAGTATCTTAAACAAAACATTTATGGTCAGCATAAAATTCTAAGTCGATTAAAGGATATCCGTCTCTCTGTCCATTGAAGTCACGATACGGCCACTTTATTTGACGTAAATATTTTGTATTGTGTATAGGATTTTGTGTTGGTATGGTGTATTAGTCCACGTTTTCGTAAACCCCACATGACCTACCTCCCACGTTCAAATAGATGCCACCTCCAAAAAGTTTTCGATGAAGATTTACGTTTACGTATATCACTCATATTCGCTACTTTCCAATGTTCTTCTTGTAAAATGTTATTGCTGATGCATACACCTTATTAATCCACCTTGTATCCAACGTACCGTACCACAAAATTCACCTTCCACACTGTGGTAAATTGCTTTGTACAACCATATTACCCAAATAGGCAGGGTCCATATAAATTAAAGTAACCAAATAAAAGTAAGGAGAATTTTAAATTATAAATTCAATTATATTCTTCTAAATACGAAATTTAAGAAGAGTTGGACGCTTATTTCGCTTTCTGTGAGCGTTTTGTTTTTTAAAATCTTGTACCCTTTGTGGGGCAGGTAGCAAAAGAAATGGTCCGATCTCTACCATCTTTATTACAGATCTTATGTTGATGGAAATATTGAGATGTATCAAGTCTGAAATGGAATCGGATGTTAATTTCGCTTTTTATGAGTTTCTTCAAATTTTTGAACCTTTGTGGGGGAGGTACCAGAAGGAATGGTCCGACCTCTACCGTTTTTATAACAAATCCTGTGTTGATGGAAATATTCAGATGTACCAAGTCTAAATGGAATCGGATGTTAATTTCGCGTTTTATGAGCGTAATGGATATAAAAAATTTCGACCTTTTGAGGGGGAGGTACCAGAAGGAGTGAACCGATGTCTACCTCCTTGACACCAGACCTTGGGTTAAGACAATCGGACTCTTACATCACATTTTATAAGAGTTGTTTTTGCTCAAAATGTCGACCTTTTGTGGGGGAGGTACTTAATGGAGTGGACCGATATTTTCCATTTTCGCACCTGGTCTAGCACTGACGCAAATATTAGGATTTGCAAAGTTGGAGCAAAATCGTTTCTGTTTCTGTGCAGAAAATATATTTTTTGAAAATTTCGATCTTTTGTGTACCAGAATGAGTGGACCGATATTGATTATCTTCGAACTCGATCTAAGTTTTACAAAAATATTACGATGTACCAAGTTAGGACCAAATCGGATCTCCCTTCGAGAGTTATGTGAGTAGAGAGTAGAGTGAATACGTCTCGTGTCGATTTTCTTAATGTTATGTTCTCATTGCACTTTCAATCACGTGGTTCGCTCTCAGAATTAGGTATACGAATTAACCCGTTCATACAGCACGATTCGTAATTCATAGTAACATAATTCCTTTCAATTTTTTTGTTTGTTGATTTGTATAGGAATTTGTACGAAAGTACATGAAATTAGCATTAATAGTAGAAGAAATTATTGTTTTTCCTCGAAAGATTTACTTTATCTTTCATTTAACAATTTTCATTCATGTTTTGCACTTTTTGTATAAAAAAGCGTACCTCGGGTGTGAGAGAAAACTAAATTTACTTTCGAGTTTTGCCTTGTTAAGGCGAAGATCATAGGTTTTATGATTTAAGTGTTTGTTTTCTCTTTCGAGACGAGCTTAATGATCTGAAATTTGCAGTGAAAAGGAAAGCCAGATAGACACTATCACACACTCACCACTATGGGACGCGTTCCGCCGTTGGTTAAGCGGCTCATCAGGCTTATTTGATGTGGATGATGGCTTACAAGGGCCGTTCTCTGGAAAGTAGTATATATTTCGAACTTATTGCAAATTAGCATATGCGAATTATACACTAGAAACTCTCCAGGTTCGACTCAAGTTCTATTGGCAGATCTTTTTCACAGCAACGTTTTGTTTTTGTAGTGATGGATTTTTTTTGTTGCTGTGGGATTTGAACCGCGGACCTCTGTGTGCAGCCAACTAGAAGTTGCCGTCTCTACGTTCAGAGACATTAACCCGTCTTCCTAAAGCAGCACTAAAACAAGTGTATGCATTGGAAGCAATGTAGTTGTTGTGGACAAAAAATCCATCACTACAAAAACAAAACGTTGCTGTGAAAAAGATCCGATATGGCGTTTTGTGATTTAATTCTATTTATCGATATACGACAGGTATACCCTTTTTATACCCTACAACACTATGTGTTGGGGGTATTATAAGTTTGATTGGGCCAACAATTATGTGGTTTCCCACATAGGAAAGTATATATGGATCTTCCCATCTCGCCGAGCTGAGTCGATCTAGCTATGTATGTCCGTCCGTCTGTCCATGTTAATTTGTAATCACTCTACATGTCGCA